TCTGTAGTCACGCACTGCCTGCTTTCTGAGTCGTGCTCGAGAGGACTCGCTCTTCATCTGCGGGGAGAGTTAGCCGTTTCGCAGAGGACCTTTTTAGCCGGACAGCTTTCAACCCCAGTTTCAGATTTGGATCCTTTAACAGTGGCACATGAGAAGAGGAGCGCTTTACATAATAAGTTAACTCACCCTTACAAATGCCCTCTTAAAGGGTGACAGTCAGTTTATGGTGATTCCCTCCAGAGGAAAGAACTTGTTGGTTTGAATGATCTCTACATACCGTTTACAAAACTGAACTCTGCAGTGTCTCAGTTTTTCTCAGAAGTTGCCCTTCCACCATCGTTATTCTAGGGAGCCGTATGTGGTAGCATTGATTTTAGCTTTTCGTCTTTTATTTTATTTTTTTTTTCCCCTCACATGCCCACGTAAATATGTGTCAGCAAATAAACAACAGCTACAGATCTCAAAAACTGATCATGGCTGGGAATTTTTTTAACTAGAGAAACACATGAGAGAGACATATATCAAAAAGCATAGCAAACTGTAAGCAGGTTAAGTAACTCCCATGTGAAACTCGAATGCTGGCGGTCTTGTGAGCACGTGTCCAGCATAAAGAGACGGCTTTAAAAGCTGGGAGGAAAGACATATCGTATATGGAGGAGGTGGCTGCCTCCATTTCTTAGCAGCAGCAGTGGATCCTATACCTGACATTAAACCGATAGCATAAAATAAAGACCCTTTAGAACACCCAGACACTAAGATTTTTTTTTCCTTTTCAGACAGTAGCTGAAAAAAATCTCTAAAAGTTACATTTTAACAAGAAGAAAACTGACTCCAGAAATAGACGATACCATTGCAGAAACAATGACAAAATAATTTGGACAACGAATAAACTCAAACACTTTGCATAAATGACTGCCTTTTGCAGTAATTTGATTACTAAAGAATGGTTTGGGTCACTATTGTTTTATGTTTATCTTTGAGACAAGGTCTCACTCTGTAGCCTAGGATGGTCTGAGACTCACTGTGTAGCCCAGGCTGCTCTGGAACTCGTGGCCAACCCCAGATTTTGAGACTGAGGCACTACCCCAGTGTAACAGTGTTTTCCCACAACCACCTTGTCGAGTACAACCACCTCGGCATGAGGCTAGTTTCTGAGGTGCTTCTGCTGTAATCAGTGGCTTTCATGCCAGGTTGTTGATGTCAATATCCACGCACAGCTGAAAACAAATAGTTAGCCTCGAGATCAAAGTTTCTAATGCACGTTTACAGTTATAGTCACTGTGATGGTTTGTACTGGTTGACACACTGACAAGATCGTGTCAGAAGATAAACTCTGAACCCTCATGCCTGTGAGGAACTGTCTAGGTCAGGTTAATTCAGGTAGAAGGACTCTCCTTAACTGGGCTGGGGTCTTGAAGTGAATCAAACAGAAGGGAGCTAGGTACCAGCATTCATTCCCGACTGCTCTTGACTGTGGATACATCGCAGCCAACTGTGTCACGCTGTCCCTGTGATTTCCGGAGCCATGCTGGACTGTACCCCAAAAACTAAGGGAAAATAAGTCCTTCATTTTTTCAATTATTTTTGTCCAGTTTTTTTTTTTTTTTAATCACAGTAATAGAAAAAGTAACTACTATAGAAACTGATGCTGAGAAGTGGATCCATTGCTGTGCTAAGCCAGACCATGTGTTTCCCAGAAACTTGCTTGAAGGAGGACGGCAGAAGATTTCGGCTTTGGGGTTAGAAAATGCCTTGGGCACTGTAAGCAGAACTTAACAGACCATTTTGGTGGGTGCTTAAAATACAATGATGCTGAAGAGAAATGTGTGCAGTGGAGACCCAGCCTAGGAGGTTTCGAAGGGAGCAAAGATGTTTGAGGCCACTTTGGGGTACTCAGTAGCGTCCTTCCCGTGTTCTGAGATCACAGCAGTAATGGGAATGTGTGCCCTGTGCCACTGTGTCTTGGAAGTGTGACCCTTGCTTTTATTTTATGGAGACAAGAGATCACTTGGAGTCTCAGTGTTGGAATCAAAAGCCTATGCAGACTTTTCTAGCGGGACAAAATATATTCTATAGTACTAAATGACCTAAGGGGTCAAGAGGAGGGCAGCTTTGGTTTAAAACTAACACATTTGATGGATGCTCACCTTACGAGACCTGGATGGAGGAGGGTGGTCCTTGGACTTCCCACAGGGCAGAGAACCCTGATTGCTCTTTGGGCTGACAAGTGAGGGGGACTTGATTGGGGGAGGGGGAGGGAAAGGGGAGGCGGCGGTGGGGAAGAGACAGAAATCTTTAATAAATTAAAAAAAATAAATAAAACTAACACATTTGAGTGTCAAGTCAACAAGGGGCAGACTTGTGATAGATTAATATTGATTACCAACTTGCCAGGGTCTAGACCCAACCAGGAGACAAGCCTGCTTGTGAAGGATTATCTAGGTTAGGTTACATGAGATAGAAAGACAAAGACCCCATCCCACTCCTGACTGTGGATACAGTGTGACCAGTCACCTCGAGCTCCTGCTCTCATGAGGCTGTTCCAGATGAGCAGAAATCAAGCCTTCCCTTCCTCCTTTACTTTGGTCAGGTATTTTATCTTAGTACTGAGGACAGTTACGAAGGCAGTCATAACACTGCGTTTTCTAGCAGGGCAGGTACATTTGAACGTTGTCTTGTCATCGCTCCAAAGTCCAAGGCTTCCTTTTGTACCTAAAGGTAACTCCTAGCTCAGTCTCTTACATTGAGGATGCCTGTATCTTCGAGGAAAGGAAGGCATTCTAGTGAATGGTTACCAGCTGCCGGGAAGAGTCATGATACTCTTTAAAACAAGCTGTCTTCCTTTTCTGTGGGGAAGTTTCCCCGTTCTCTGTAGGAAGCTTCCCTCCCTTTGTGCGCGATGTGAAATATCTAGTTTTGATCAAGATCATATGTTTTCTTTTTATTTCAAAAGCGAACACTTTTTCTGAGCTTAGATGAAGTAATAAAAATCGCTGATTTTCTTGTGGTAGGAGCTTTTATGCCACTGTTCAGGATGGGAGCAGTGTTCCCCTTTGCTATTTTAATTATATCAGAGCAATTAGATCATAACTCACACTTCTGAAACCCCATTATAAAGATAAGGAATTCATTTTGCTGTATAATGCTCCAAACTGTAAATGAGATTTAAGATTAATTGTCTAATAGGTTGGATTTTAAATGGAAACTCTTTCCATTTTATTTTGTATCTGTATGATTCACCATGAAGCTTGCTTTAAAAGGTTTCAGAATTACTGATTCTTCTTTGTATTTAAACCGAAGTCAATTTCTTTTTAAATCAAAGTTTTTTTTTTCCTTTAAACTATCACTTTCTCACTTCTAGGTGGAGATGTTTGTGTTGTTATTGTTGTTGATGATGATGGTTGAATAGAGAATAAAATAAGAACATAAACATGGGGCAGGAGAGGGGGTATCGTAATAAAAAGCCCAGTTCCTCCTGTCCTTTCCATAACACGGAAAACACTGAGCCAATTCCGTATTTTTATTATCAGGTTATAAATTCCACGAGGTAGATCTTTGATGAAAGCAATAGTCTTCTCAGCCTATGGGTATAGCTGGGTATGTGGTACAGTGAGGTAGAGGAACAGTCCTGAGGGCAGGCAGCAAAGGAGGAGTTCCTGGTTTCTGACAGAGGTGCAGTTAAACTTGGACTCCGGGCCACAGAGAGGGTGAGGATGTGTGGAGATGCGTGTGGTGGGTCCTGGGGCTAAGGGAAAAGATGAACGAAGCAGGAAGTGGAGTCACGTGCATGCTTCATGTTCTGTAAGTAAACCAGTAGAGGTCAGAGGGAGGCAGTCACAAGGCTTGCACTCTGGCTGAATACTTCTTGTGGGAGTCGTTGGAGCAAACGCTCCAGGTGGCGGACTAGCTGGTTTGCTTTTACTCATTCAACATGCACTCACCTGGTGCTTACCTTGTATCGAGTGCTGGACTTTTCCAAATAGTTCAGTCAGGAACCCATAAGGACTTGCATAGCTGGAGTGGGAAGGGGTACAAAAGCTGCATTGGGCATGACAATCCTCACAAGCTGGAGCTTACCACTGTGTGGAAATGAGACCCGAGAACAAGGCCAGTTTAGGGTAAAGGGGTATGTGCACATTCATGTGATGCCCGCCGCTGACAATCCATCAGGTACTCGAGGTGAGGGACTCGGCCATCTTACTGGTAAAATGTGCAGCTCAGTAAATCCCTAATTATTCCTAAACAAGGGCTGCGTGAATGCCACAGACATAGTCCCCAGTCCACAACCAACCTGGAAGTACCACAGGTCTCTAGAAATACTGCTGTCTTGATAGATGTGTGCATCTGAAAACACATTTTACAAGTGATTGCCAGACTTCGGCGGTAATTCCAGAAGAATAGACCCATTCGATGCACAACCCATCTTCCAAGCTTGAAGTCTCTTAACTGTTGTTTTTGCCGAGTGACCCAAAGGTCTTCATGAAAACAGAGGAGGCAGTGCCTGGGGGCATCTGGCCTGAGTGTGGGTGGCTGATTGTTCTACTAGTCAGTCGTGAATAAACACGCAGCTGTCTGCTATGCCGTGAACATGGCTAGACACTGGCCCTCACAATGGCTGGGCCATCCAGATTGAATTCTGAGCAGACAACACTGACTCCATTGATATTTTGTGATGATGAGAGGTCCAGGGAAGAAATAGAAGTAATTTAATGGCTTGTCGTCACCGAAGATGTCCACTGCGGAGAAGCAAGCAGATTTGTAAGGAAGGATGGTGTGTTTTAAATGTGTGAGCATTATTATTCATTGCCCTGGTTTGAGGTTTTGTTTTTAAGGTAGGAAATGTCCTTTGGACTGAGTGAAACGCGACTCAGCATAAAAGGCTCACGGTGGAACAAAGCGTGCAGACTGTGAGTGATTGGCACGCGCCGGGCTAATGAGAAGACAGAGTGTCTCTAATCAGCAACAGAACAAACACTCACAAGGCTCCCTTTCCCTCCTAGGACGTCCTTCGCTGGGCACCTGGCCGGCATCCTTGTGGGACTGATGTACACTCAGGGGCCTCTGAAGAAAATCATGGAGACTTGTGCAGGTACAGAATGAGACACTTGACCTGGCAGTAGTTAGAGGTTCATGTTCATGTGCACAGGAGCAGCCCTAAGATTCCTCGTGGTTCTCTTTAGAAATGTCCTGATAGACCCAGAGTTCTCTTTAAACCGAGAGGTAACGATAGCCCAATCACAGGGCCTCACGTTGCTCTGCAAAGGAGAATTCAAGCCCAAATTTCAGTTCTGAGGTGTTCTTAAGGAACAAATGCTGGTATAGACTTTTACCCTCAGCCCTAATGTGTTCACAGAAAACTGCAATTTTCCTCAAAACCTGAGTTTATAATAATGTATTTTTCTATTAAATTCCTCGAAGTTAATAGACAGGCCTGGCAAGGTTAACAGAAGGAAATCAAACCTGGACTGGAGTACAGGGCCAGAAATTTGAAGAGTTCAGAATGACTACCAGGTCCTTGGTGGGTAAAACATTATATTCTCGGGAAGCCAAGCCATGTAATTTATCTCTTGAGGTTGGTCCCTGTTTTTTTATTTTCTTTGCTTTTTTCCTTTGTTCCCCCCCAATATTGATGTTCAATAAAAATGTTTTATTTAGTAGTGAATGCATTTAGACCCTTTAATATAAAATACTGTACTGATTCTGACTTGTAAGGCAGCTAGTTTGCAAACACTTGTTTTATAGACGATGCACATTCTAATATTTCATCTTTTATTCATGGGAATTCTTCTGAGACTATTTTACCTTTTTTTGAACCATAAATAATTTGTTTTCACAGTGTGTGCCGATGACTGTTGTTCTCGAGAACCATATAATATTCATGGTGTTTGAAAGCTTTCTGGGCCCTGTTCCGCTGCCTTTATTGGCAGGTTGTTTTCACTTTGGTGTAATTTTTACAGGCTGGACTGCGTCTACACAGAGTCCCATTCCTGCTCGTTCCCTAGTCCTGTAGCCTGTGTGCTCTTGGAGGAGGCAACAGGAGCCACCTTCACCTGCAGTGCCCCCTTCTACCACATTCTCAGCACGGCTGCACAGCACCTGTCCGGAGCCAACTGCTGAGAAAGGGGCGTGCCTTCATCCTGATCCACGTAAAGATGTAAGGGATCTTAAGGCGGACGAACTAAAAAGTTTAGTTATTGGTTTAATTTTCAAAAAGGATTTTCTCTACAATGATAACATTTAAACCTTCCTTAAGACCATTGCTGTTTTCTGTGCAGACATTTTTATATCAGGTTTGGTTTTTTTTTTTTAAGTGCCACAGAAGAAAATTAAGTTTGAGAAGCAGCCTGCATTCTGATGAGAGCAGAGAAGACGTAATAGCCTAGAAGGGAATTGACACAGGGACTTGTGGAAAACGGCCAGGAATGCGGATTCTGCTGCTTCGTGGGTCATCCTGGGAGTGGGTCTGGGCCTGTTTCTGTCTGGTTCACTGTGCCAGAGGAAGTCACTTAGGAAAAATAGAGAACATGGCTCTCCTAATACCCTTGTTGGGAGAAGGGTTTTTTTCCTTATCACAGCCTATCTGGTGCTCTGTGCAGCAAAAATCACCTGAAGTCACCTAGAACCTTTAAGAAACCACAGTGCATGTAAATTAGGGTTTCACTGACACCTGTCTACACACACACACAGACACACGCACACACACACATGTGCACACACACACTGTTCCCTAAAAGGCTGGCTCTAAACAAATGAAGTTTGTTCTAACAGTTGTTTAGAAATGATTTAAGGTGACCCCGGGCTTTCTCATGAAGAACTGTGTAACTGCTGGAAAGATTAGCTGTTCAAACCTATGACCGCTGTTAAAGTCTTGGTTTTCTTTGTGTTTAGGTGTTTTTTCACCCAATGTTGGGTACCCAGGACAGCAGTACTACTTTAATAGTGCAGGTAAGTTCATGGCATCTAATACAGTTTCACTTGTTTTAAACACTGAACAGTTCAGGAGCATGGAGATGCTTTTAAGATGGCATTAGTTTGGCATCTGCTCGCACTGCACACAGTTGTACATGCGCTCTCCCTGGAAACCGAACGGTCAGGGGTAAGCTAGGGTGCATCAGGTGGGCTGTTAGGAAAGACGGTCACTCCAGCATGAAATAGTTGTCTAAATGGTACAAGGCCTCTCGTGTACAGTAAGGTACCTATTACCCCAAGACACCCAAGACTCCCCCTGGCGGGGTGTTTAGACTGGTCCCAGGGACACAATTCCACACTTCTGCCCCATCCACACTTTCAGCGAGGCCTTAGCTTGTCCTGTTATACTAAGAGTCTAGGGCAGCGCGTAGCATTGCATCGGCCAGACAGGAACATAGTAATCGTGTGTGTGTCTTGTAAAGCCAGTAAGACTGGGTGATGAAGGCCTTGTCTCCAGACACAGTCAGATGAAGCTTGTAGCCTCTCAATACTATTAAACTGATATAATTGAAGTTCAACTCCCTCGTGAGAGGAGAACGTGGGTGCATACACGGTAGTATTTAGGTCTTTTGAGTGAGTGGCACAGAAATAGGTCTGAGTGTCTTAATGCAACAGACTGGACATGTCCCCCTTTAGAAGTTTGTCTTGAAATCCTAGCTCTTATCATAACAGTATTTAGATTTGGGTTCTTTGGTATGAAATCAAATCACCATAAGGTAACATCCACGTTAGTGCCCACATGAGAAGGACTCCAAGAACCCCTTGTCTCCTGCCGTTTAAGTACACTTGGTGCCCATCAGCAGCCAAAAGAGAATACTCACAAGATCTGGAGCTGACATCCTAGCTTGGACGACTGGAACTTGTCATAGCCGTTACCAATGGCCAGAGATTCCATGTGAGGCTGGCAGCCTTTGTATCACGTGTCACATGGCTAATGTTTTAGACACTGAAGGCTTTATTGCCTATTTGGCTCTGTTCTAGCTAGCCGGCCCTTTCTTACACCATGAGAACAAGCAGCGAGAATTCATAGATGTGGGACAATGACTGTGTGCCCTAACGTCTTATGGAAATACCATGTTTCAGCTTCAGACCAGAGGTCATAGTTTTGTTGCTTTGGTTTGCTTTTGAATTCTGGCTTACCTAGACCTCTAACAGGTACAAAGAATTGTTAATATATATCTGATACTGATCTTGATTGTCAGTCTGACCAAATTGAGAGTTGCCCAAAAAATCAATAAAGGGCCCACCTGGGCATGTCTGTGAGATAATTTCCTTAGTCCATTAGCTGGAGGGCCATGACCTTCCCAGGATGTGGGTGATAACATCCAGTTGGCTAAAGCCCCCCTGAAATAAAGAGGAAGAAGAATGAAGCCCACTCACTAGAACAGGCATCAGACATTTTCTCTCTCTCTGACTGACTCTCTCTCTCTCTCTTTCTGTGTCTGCCTATCTCTGTCTGCATCCTGACCTCCATGAAGTAAGCATTTCGTCCTCACTGCTCCCCTCTGCGGTGATGGCTCTTCCTTATCACAGGCCCATAGCGACAGGGGCAGGTAGACATGGCCTGAAACCCGAGTCAAAACAACTCCTCTGTCCTGCAAAGGTGCTCTCTCGGGCATTTGCCACAGTGACAAAAAAGCTAATACTGTGTGCATGTAATGTATATACATATACATACATATTCACATGCATTTGTACATGTGTATCACTTTGGGTTTATTCTCCCATACAACTATACAAAGGTTTTTTTTTTTTTTTTTTTTTTTGGTGGGGATTGGTTTTCAAGACAGGTTTTCTCTGTGTAGCTTAGGAACCTGTGCTGAAACTCTCCCTGTAGACCATGCTGGCCTTGAACTTGCAGAGATCTGCCTGGTTCTGCCTCCCAAGTGCAGCCACCACCCTGCCCCCATACAACATACAATGTTACTAAGTCACAGACTGTTATCCATCAGTACTCGGTGAAGATCACATTGCAGAGTGCTGTTATGGACACTATAAGAAAAAAAAAACAGCAGTTCTTCTCTTAGAGAGTCTAGAGGAGGAGCAGGTATGTTTATTTAGAGGTGGGTATATAAGGGTGGATATGTAGGAATAGGTGTATAGACATGGGTGTTTAAAGGTGGTCATATAGGAATGAGTATATAGAGGTGGGTATATAGAGGTGGGTACATAGGCATGGGTATATAGAGGTAGGTATATAGAGGTGGGTATATAGGCATGGGTATATAGAGGTGGGTACATAGGCATGGGTATATAGAGGTGGGTATATAGAGGTAGGTATATAGGCATGGGTATATAGGCATGGGTATATAGAGGTGGGTACATAGGCATGGGTATATGGAGGTGGGTATATAGGCATGGGTATATAGAGGTGGGTATATAGGGGTGAGTATATTTGAGAAGATGAAACAAAAGAGCTCATGACACCAATTAGATGATAATAAAAGCTGAGACATGATGTCATGTGAGTGGATAGCTAGTAACCCTAGCATTTGTTGAATTTTTCCCTACTCCCGATGGTCAGGTTCCACCTGCAGCTCTTTCCTGGGAGACGTCCACAGGCAGGTAACCTGCTCCGCCCTGCTCTTCTCTCCTCACTGCCCCGCAGCCCGGAGAATGCCTTTATTATTATTTTTTTTCCTAAAGGTCCAGAATCCTTGTCTGAGAATGGTTTTCTCCACTCTGCTACTAAGTTTCCACAGAGGGGCTCACCCATTCCCTTCTGTTCCTGTGCTGACGTGGAGGCGAGGTTAGTCATCTGGGAAGGAGGAAGAGAGGAGCAGTCCATGAAGCTGTCCAGAGGAGGTGGAGTGGTGAGCATGACAGGTGACTAGGAGTTAGGGAAAGTCATTATGGAGAGAGAGGACTTCCCAGGGGCCTTTGAATCGGAAGGAGAATCAAATGTGGCCTGTTGGCGACTGTCCAGAATGTGCTAAGAAAGACCTTAAGGATTAAATCCATAGCATAATAGTCTTAGAAGTAACGGGGTTCCATGTACTCTGTAACTCTCAAGCCATGGCTCATGACTATCAACAATCCTGGTTTATGTCATGTACGAGTCACCTGAATAGCCTGAAATTCACCCAGGTAATGAAGTCAGAAGGGGAAGACTGGGAGCCCTGACACACACACACACACACTCATACACACACAAACACACACATACAACGTCTCAGGTGATGGGACCAAGAGTAAAAGCCCTTCATATGTCTGGGACCTTGGGCTTGGGGATCACAGAGTTCTGTCTCTGCCCCAAGAAGGTGCTTTGTGTGTGAGGTTTTCACCTTTGCTTGGTCTGGGTGGGACGATCAGTGTCATCTGAACTGAGATGGTGCGATCGGCCCGCTGTTGTGGACGGAGTTGATAATGGCAGTCTCTTGAAGAGCATTTTGGTTGTCTTCTGTAGAAACCATTTCATAGTGTGGGAAGCAGAAGAGAAGTAAGTGTTCCTGGCCTGTGTGACTGGGAGGAGCCGAGCTGGTCAGGGAAACCATCACGGGTCTGTCTCCCAGTGTGGTGCCTCATCTTGTTAACTTCTGCTCTCCAGGAGACAGAGGAAGAGGCAGGCAGCAGTGTGAAGTCATTAGAGGTAAGGGGTTTTCTCTGTTGTCTGATGCTTCACTTTTGTGAGTCTCCGCAGGAGATCACAGTGGAGTCTGGGTAAGAGTTCTGTCAGGAGACATTCTTGCTGCACAAGTGTGAGGATGTGAGTTTGATCCCTAGAACCCAGGTTTAAAGAAATCAGTAACACACCCAGTGGCATATCCCTGTAACCCCAGTACCAAGGAGGCTCTCTGAGCAGCCAACCTAGCAGCTTAGCAAAGCCCAGACCACTTGGGACAGTGTCCGAAACACAGCACCTTGCAGAGGAATGGCACCTGGGGTTGTCCTCTGGCCTCCACGTTCACACACACACACACCTCATTATGTAGTGTGTACACACACACACACACACACACACACACACACACACACATACAAACACACCAGCCTTCTGGGTCTAGGGAAAGGAATGAACTCTACCACACTTGTGCACAGACTTCCTGGTCCTGTCCTTCCTAGTCCTGACATCTTGCCTGACAGCTGGAAAATTGAACTGAGGAAGGCTGAATAATTTGGTCACATTTACAGAATAGCTAAGGGTAAGTCTGGGACAAGGATATGAGTTGGTGGTTCATTGATTGGCCCTGCTTTTAGGTTGTATGGGGCTGTGAGAGGCACACACACTCTGACCACTGAACTTTGGGAAACAAAGTAATCCTTCTTGTGCTGTCTCTCTTCGCCCCTCCCTCCCGCCCAATTCCCCTCTGTTTGCCACATTTACTGATATTTTCTGTTGGCAGAAGGAAAATCTCTCTCTGCTCCTTTTGTCCTTCTTCAGTGAGAGGCGGTGACGCAGCTGACACACAGACTGGAGAATTCAAGGCAGAAATCCAAACCTTTTTTTACCCTTCCTTTTTGATGTCCTGGAAGATTAACATATTACTATCCCTTCCTCTGGACTGATCGGATTTCCTCAAAGACAGCACTACAGAGGGCCCAGGTGGCCAGGCTAATGGTTATCTATGCAACTTTGATAGGATTGTGCGTATCTCTTACAAGTAGTGATTTATTCTTAACATGGCCACCTTCAGCTGGGAAACTCCTTAGAGGTCAAAGAAGCTGAGGAGTGTTTTAAAAAACTGTTACCAATTTTTCTTATCTGTGCTGTTTTTCTTTGCGGTGAAATCCTGGAATGTATATAAGGACCAGGTGGGGCAGTTAGCAAAGTAATGATAGCCAGAGAGCTTTTCGTTAAACTACAGAGCCTAAGTATATAACTTAAGAAGTAGTTATCACAAGACATAATTTAAACTTATTTATCCTAAGTATTGGTTGTGAGATTCCTCTGCCCTTGTTTATTATGAAGACTTTACAACATTTGATTGGGCCATTCGAAGAATAACTGTTGAAAAGTTTTGTTTCTCATGGACCCC